TCAAAAAAAAAAAAAAAAAAAACTAAGCACACCCTCTACATCTTTTCATTTAATCTTCTCAACAACCTGCAAGTCCAGAGTTATTGCTGCTCATCTCACTTTACAGCCCAGAAACATTACTAATGTCTGTGTGTGGAATGTTTTCTGTTGCAGCTCTCAGACCCCCAAATTGTCCCAAGGCTTTGCTGGCAGGTGGAGGAAGATCCAGTGAGGGTAGGGGGTAATGGCTCCTGAAGGACCCATTCTGATAAAAACAGCAAGTGATTTCCCTTAGCCTCATAGCTCTGAGGCCAGGTGATACCTGACCTGGCCCTTTCTGGGGTATTCTCCATTGATGAGGGTGACCCCTCCCTACTTCAGAGCTGGGGGCATGAGTTCAGAGGATCAGAGTGAGAGCTGAGGTGGGAAGGGGAAATAGAGGCTGTGAGAGGGAAACACGTTTCTTCTCATCCCTCCATCCTAGCATTGATTCATCTCTCTTTTAATCTCTCAGAGGGAGGGGAGGTCCCATCCCAACTAGAAACCATGGCCACAAGGATGCTGGATGAAAAACCCAAGCTCCAGATGAGAAAGCCACTCTGGCTTTGATAGGTCCCTCCCAAGTAGGGAAGCCCATGTCTCTGCAGATCCCATGACCGCAGATGAATGTGCTGTTCTGTAGTTGTCTCTGACTATAGAGGAGCCTACCTCCTCTGTCCTGATAATAGGACTCTGAACCAAAGCAGCGAGGAGGTAGGTTAGACCCTAGCAGACAACCATTTGAAGTGGTGGAGTCTGATGCAAGTAACTGCCCTTCTTAGGGCCTCAGTCTCCTCCTCTGTAAGATGGGGATGGTAACCCTGATGTTGACAGTGGTCATGAAACTTCTCTAAGGGAATACAGTAAAGCTCTCAGCTCAACATAACAAGTGCTACCTCACACCAGTCCCTGTGACCTCACCCAAAGCCAGAGGAGCTGGGAGGGAGGGATTGTGGGGCAACAGGGACAATGCAGCCAATCCCCTACCCTGTGACCAACACTACAGCCAATGAGGGGCCAGGAATTTAAGCCAGCCTTATTTTAGGTCTCTTAGGAGGTAGTGGCACTAAAAATAGCTCAATGCCAGGATGAATAAGAAATGTCCAAGAAAGACTAAAACAAGCAGAGGAGAAAAATTGGATCCAGTCATGCCTCCTACATAGGAACACACATTGTGTCCCAGTTCACACTCTGCCAAGAAACAAGCCAGCAAGTGGGAAAAGCATAGCTGGGAAAAGCATAGCATCAACATCTAATCTTAGCTGCTGCCTGGGTCACAATTCTGAGAGGTCAGACTGTGGCTGTACTCCCCCAACAAACTTGGGAATACCTGAGGCAGGGCACAGCTTTATACTCCATACCTCTGCCCCTTTCCCTCTAGTATTTGTTATGCTTAATCACTAAATGTGCCCCAATCCTGCTACAGCCTTACTCAAGAGTTCTAGGGGCAGGGAGAAAGCTGAAGGAATGAATGATGGCCATCTCTCCCTCTGGCTCACAATAAGGTTGGGCAGCTCTCAGGGAAGGTCTTGGGAAAAAAAAATACACCAGTGAAAGAAACAGCATCAGCACATGTCTAGGAACATGAAAAGAGAGGAGGGCAGGAAACCAAGAAGCTAGAGATAGAGGGTAAGGGAAACTAAGGCTGGAAGCTGTTCCAAAGACAAGAAAAGTGCTGCCATGTGGTGTGACGGTGGAAAAGTATAAAGTTGTTTCTTTATTTTCCTTTTTTTTTTTGAAAGCAAGATTTATTGAGAGCACAGAAAAGCTCCCACAGTGGGAGGGGACCCGAAGGGTTGCCCTCAATATTATTTTTTTGAGTTGGCATCTCACTCTGTTGCCCAAGCTGGAGTGCAGTGGCATGATCATGGCTACCACAGCCTTGTCCTGCTGGTTCAGGTAATCCTTCTGCCTCAGTCTTCCAAGTAGCTGGAACTACAAGTGAGTTCCACCACCACACCTGGCTAATTTTTATTTATTGTAGAGACGAGGTCACGCCATGTTGCCCAGGCTGGTCTTGAAATCCTGGGCTCAGGCAATCCTATCGCCTCAGCCTCTTAACTGCCACTGCACTTGATCTTTTTTTTTTTTTAATTTAAACTTTCCAATATTATTCTTAATGGTATGATAACTTTGTAATACAAAAACTACTTGGGGGGGCTAGGCACCATGGCACACTTATAATCCTAGTGCTTTGAGAGGTCGAGGCAGGAGGATGGCCTGAGTCCAGAAGTTTGAGAACAGACTAGACAACATAGCAAGACTACATCTCTGAAAAAAAAAATAAAGAAAAGAAAATTTTAAAAAGTTGGGCATGGTGGCGCAGTCCTGCTACTCGGAAGGCTGAGGGCTGAGGTGGAAGGACTGCTCGAGTCCAGACATTCAAGGCTGCAGTGAGCTATGATCACCATTATATCCCAGACAACAAAGCAATATCCCATTTCTATTAAAAAAAAAAAAAAAGTCAGGCGCGGTGGCTCACGCCTACAAATCCTAGCACTTTGGGAGGCTGAGGTGAAAGGACTGCCTGAGCCCATGGGTTCGAGACCAGCCTGGGCAACTTGGCGAGACCTCATCTCTACAATAAATCAAAAAATTAGCCAAGCTGGTGGCACACACCTGCAATTCCAGCAATTTGGTAGGCTGAGGCGGAAGGATCACCTGAGCCAGTAGGTCGAGGCTGTGGTGGCCGTGAGCATGCCACTGCACTCCGGTCTGGGTGACAGAGTGAGACTCCAACTCCAAACAAACAAAACAAACAAACAAAAAAACGCACACATATATTACTTACACACACATGTACCCCAAAACTATGGATTGGGGCCTGCTTGACCTTCATGTGTTTTATTTATTTCCATGTAGTGATCACAACAGCCATGTAGTCAGATTCCACTGTCATCCAGTGATGTGGGGGATCTTGCCCCAAGCTCTGGTATATATATCAGTGCTGATACTAGGTCCTCTGGCTGAACCCAGAACTTTCTTTCTGCTAGCTTTGCATCTCTGAGCTCTAAACCACAAAGCTGGCCATCTCTTTCCTATAATACCCTCACCTTTGGTTTAAAGGCCAAATCTCTGGAGTTGCTCTAATTCTATTCTATTTCAAGGGTTGCCCTTTACAAATAATAAAAATTTTTAAAGACCCAGCACTTTGGGAGGCGGAAGCAAGAGGACTGCCTGAGTTCAGGGGTTCAAGATCAGCCTGGACAACTTGGTGAGATCCTGTCTCTACAGTAAATCAAAAAATTAGCTGGACAGCCGGGCTCAGTGGCTCAGCCTGTAATCCCAGCACTTTGGGAGGCTGAGGTGAGTGGATTGTCTGAACCCGTGGGTTCGAGACCTGCCTGGGCAACTTGGCGAGACCTCATCTCTACAATAAATCAAAAAATCAGCCAGGCACGGTAGCGCGCGCCTGTAGTTCCAGCTACTTGGAAGGCTGAGGCGGAAGGATCGCCGGAACCCAGCAGGTCGAGGCTGCGGTGGCCGGGAGCAGCCACTGTACTCCAGTCTGGGCGACAGAGTGAGACTCTGGCTAAAAAGAAAAAAGTAATCTCAGCATTTTGGGAGGCAGTGAGAGGATTGCCTGAGCCCACGGGCTTGAGACCAGCTTGGGCAACATGGCGAGACCTTGTCTCTACAATCAAAAAATCAGCTGGGCTTGGTGGCACATGCCTGTGGTTCCAGCTACTTGGAAAGCTGAAGCTGAAGGATCACCTGAGCCCAGCAGGTCAAAGCTGTGGTGGTTGTGAGCGTGCCACTTGACTCCAGCCTGGGTGACAGAGTGAGACTCCGACTCAAAAAAAAAAAAAAAAATAGCTGGGCTCGGTGGCTCAGTCTGTAATCCCGTGCCTTTGGGAGGCTGAGGTGAGTGGATTGCCTGAGCCCGCGGGTTCAAGACCCGCCTGGACAACTTGGTGAGACCTCATCTCTATAATAAATCAAAAATTACCCGGGCATGGCAGTGCATGCCTGTAGTTCCAGCTACTTGGAAGGCTAAGGCAGAAGGATCGCCGGAGCCCAACAGGTCGAGGCTGCGGTGGCGGGGAGCGGCCACTGCACTCCAGTCTAGGTGGCAGAGTGAGACTCCAACTCAAAAAACAAAATAAAACAAAAATACACACATACACATAAATAATAACGAAATTAAAAATAAGGCTGGGTGCAGTGGCTCCACCTATAATCCTAGCACCTTGGGAGGCGGAGGCAAGAGGATTGTCTGAGCCCACTGGTTCCAGATCAGCCTGGGCAACTTGGTGAGACTTCATCTCTACAATAAATCAAAAAATTAGCCTGGCATGGTGTCACATGCCTGTAGTTCCAGCTTCTTGAAAGGCTGAAGCGGTAGG